CTGGTATGAGTGTTTTATGAGCACTCAAGTGCCTTCCGGACTGGGATGTTTAAAACTCTCGCGAGCAGGGAATCGAGAACATTCCACTCGCACTCACGACACGACAATGTCGGATTTGATCTCGAACGACGACATTTTTATGAGCGGTTAAAAGTTTATGAATATGCTTACAGCTGCAGATTTTACTTGTGTTGTTTATTTAAATCTCTCAGATAAATCTACTAAAACGCTTTCTTTTCTATGCAAGTTCGAGCAAATTAACGTTTAAATAAAATCTGTGCTGTATTCAAACTTGGTCCACTTTGCGTCTCAACTGACGTCTCCATCCCCAAAGGGACAGCAGTGTCCTCGATGACGTCATAGCTTTTTCAGCACTTTTCCATGTCTTACTGACCTTCTCTTTCACCTATTCTTAGAGACTCAATGAAAGAATTTATTAACTTGGTTACGTAATTCTTTTTTTTTATGATAGTGCGTTAAACGATCAAACGGATTACCTGCTGGTAAGCAATCAATGCCGCCCATGGGCACCTGTATTGCTGCAACATAAGAGGAGTTAAGAGTGCGTTGCCGGCCTTTTGTTATTTAGGGTTACGTAAATTTTGGGATTGAGGAGGAATGGAAAATACAACGCTGCGGTTAGTTTCATGCCAGTTTTCCGTGAAGCCGTGGTATTATTCTGGTCGAGCCGATCTATCCTTTTAATTTTTTTAGGTCGGCAAACGAGCACACCGATTACCTAATGGGAATCAAATAGCGCCGCCCATGGACACCCGTAACAACAGAGGAGTTACGAGTGCGTTGCTGGCCTTTTGGGGGTTAGGGATTAGGGAGATTTTGGGATTGGGGAGGGGAGGGCTAGGCCTCCGGTATTGTGATATTGAACAGGTGGACAGTTACAATTTTCAATCACATTAAACATAGTTAATGCAAGAAGATTCTTACTTACCTTGAGTAGGTACCAATTATTAAATTCGTGGCTTTTTTATTCGCACTATATTTTATTATACTCCAAAAAACACAAACAAATAATACAAAATAATGATAACAAAGAATATTTGGAGTTATATCAATTTTACCGCAATGTTACACGAAGTAATAACATTTTTATATCACCATCAAGAGGAAGAAATAAACACGGCAACATATAGAAAACGGCTGCGGTATATAATGATAGCAGAAAGGTCTTATTACGTAAACAATAAATCCTAGAGTCATGTATTATCATGATATTGTTTACTTGCTTATTTCGGTTAGAAGAATGAATCCAATAATTAGACAACAATCGGGACCGCTATCGAAGTAAACATGTCGGATAGAATTACTTATTAATAAGAACTAAATAATAGATTTATTGTGTATAAATACAATAAGCCAATTAACAGATAGAGGTCTCTTGACAAAACATAATATCAAATTTCGTAAATAATCAACAATTTTCGTACACAGGCTCTATGACATTGTCTTATAATAACATATTGATTCCAATTAGCTTCAATAACAACGTATCGCATTAACAAAACAAACATTACGTACTCGGCTCTCGCGCTCACTACAGGTAGAAACTCGTATAATTCAAGTGAGAGCATTATAATAATAGTCAAAGTCGACTGTTTTGAGTTTTAACAGCAAACACCGCTTCTGGGAAGCTCTAACAATACGGCATCGTAAAAATTAAATTACAGCGAATCTCCGAGGAGGTTTCAATTTCCAAGCAAGAATCCGGACTCGAGATTCCGGCTCCTCTTACGAAATAATATTGCATCCACAAATACTCCTTTCCTTATTACTTTTCCACCTCTCTCGTCTCATACCACACTACAATGTTAAATCAAATGAATTAGCGATCCTAACTAATAAAACGTCGAGTAAAATCAGAGCGACAACGTTGAATTATAGAGCAGCTGGAATTACTTTTAGCGGCGTAAATAGAAATGTTAATTTGAGACTGTAAAAAGTATCGCAGGAGCGTAGCGCGACAGCAAATTAGAGGGAATGGAATATAGTTTACTTTAAGTTAAACTTATTACGGTCCTCGAGAAACAAGCAGTGGGAGGCTCGGCCGGCGCGCGGGTCAAGTGCCCAATTTGTCACCCGCGCAAACTTCCGACTACTTCGGCCCCGGCCTGTTCGATTCCATTAAACTTTCGAGACCTTTTGAAGCTATTTTCTTGTTTGAATCAAGATTTGCCTAATTCATTTCGGTGTCTACCTACTTGAACGACTTCGACATTGGCTTAACGTTTGTAAATATGTCACTCACAGAAGGTGTCGTCATTAGAGTTGAAGAACTCATCACTTGCGGACTACTTCATGGGTGATAGTGTCTTAACTTAAGTAAGATTACGAAATCCAAATAAAGTCTACAGGCCGCTTACAATGCGCTATCATAAAAATTAAATTACAGTAAGAGTTTCTGTGTAAGTGTGCGCCATTTCAGAAGGCGGGTTAAGCGCGGGCGAAGGAGCCCCGCCACATCAAAGCGACTCATCTTGCGCCCGGCTCTCTGACAAATCAAATTTACCAGCTTTCTTTCTTTCTTCTTTCGTCACGGCAATGACACTAAGTATTTGACCCATGGTTGGTTACGTACAAACCTGACTCTATAAAATGTTAAAGGACAATAAAAAGCTGGTTTTAGTAAGCCAAAAAATTCATTACAATGTTGCAAAAGCTTCGAAGCTAATGAAAACGAAAAGTATAAACAAGGGGAAAGATGAGAAGAGGAAGTTTACCGCGCCGGGGGTTCTGTACTATCTAAAGACTTTGTTTGGGTAAACAATTAGTCTTTTCCCAACATTTTTGAGCCATTTACTTTGCTACGAAGTGGCTTCTATTTTGGGTTAACGGGATTAAGTATTTCTAAGGAAAATTTAAGTCTTTTTTTTTCATTAATGTTACAAGTTGATTCAAAGAAATATGTACGTTTAAAAAGTTTCTAGGAAAAAAAAGGATTTGTCAAGCATAAGAAAATTTGGTAAATGGAATATTATTCATAAATCCGTTTTCATTTTCTCGTAGAACCCTAAGCCCGTCGAAGTGAGAAGTAAAAGAAATTAAAGCCCAAGTTGTTTACGTATACAGAGCGGGGGCGCGGGCGCCTGGGGCATAGATCAAGTGGCTAATTTGTCAGAAAGGCAAGTTGGTGGCACCGGCGCGGTCTAGTGCGGCCGATGCGATTCGATTAAACTTCAGCCGAAGTACCAACACAAGAACAAGGCCTATTTAACGCGCTTCTACATTTACGGCGGAAACTTAATTAGCCAACTCGCCAGACTCCGCACCAATGTACATACATACTGCGAGTTGACTGGAGGGTTAATGCGGTGGCTGGGCAATTGGCTGCCGTGCCCTCGCGGGTTCTATTCGCGCACGGAATAACTCTTTGTGTGAACCACAAATTGTGGTTCCAGGTCGAGATGTCGTGTGTATGTTTGTAACCGCGCCCACAACTCAGAAGAAAAGCATAAGGAGGGGCAAAGTTTAAAAAAAAATCTAAAGTATTGTAGCTACATCTATTGCACACAACAGCACCAATCACGTGCAAGTTTCTACATCGCGCTATAAGAGTTTACAACACAATGAGCACTGATACAAAAATCCCGACAACAACCGTCGGTCAGTAGCCCACCAGGCACGAACACCTCGCCTGGTCGAAGTATCTTCCCTTTTCAATGGAGGATGAGGAACTTTCCACCCTATTCCTCATACCTCTAAAGTATCATGGTACTTAACATTATGTGTATTGGATGAAATTTCTTTATAATAACACTAATGACCCGCCCCGGCTTCGCACGGGTGCAATCCTGATACTAAATTTCTCCACAATTTAATGCATGCATACATAAAACCTTCCTATTAAACCACTGTATTTATTAAAAAACCGCACCAAAATCTGTTGTGTAGTTTTAAAGATTTAAGCATACAGGAATATAGAGACAGAAACTGCGACTTTGTTTTATACTATGTAGTGATGTACCTACATAAATAGCCGCATTGAAATTAAGATTACGTCAGAAATTAAATTCGAAGTTGTGAATAAAAGTAACGTTCACTTTAAAACAGGAAGTCTTATTTGAAATATCAAGAAACTTCTTAAGAACTCAAAATCGCTCCACTATTAAATTTTACCACATTTTATAGAACCCTTATCTTGAAACTTAGATTAAAGGAAAGTTTGTACACCAAGTTTGTTTTCCTACGTAGTGCATATCTATGTCTAGAGATCAAACTAAGAAGGTACTTACTTATATTGTTACTGCATAGCTTATTGAGAATCTTACAATATTAAAATTTATTGCCTTTTCGACAAGTTCATAAAATTATATTTGAAAAAAATTCGCGCTCTCTCCTAATCAAGCTATCAAAAGCCGCCTTAAAATTATGATTATTTAAGATAAAGTTGTGTATTTTTATCAAATGCGAAGCAGTACTCGAAGTAGTAAGTTGAAGAGCCCTAAAGTTATTGAAATTAAATAAAAATTTAAATAACAAAAATAATGTTAATGTAAATACTGGTTGGATATAAAAATTCTTTTAAAATTGATATTGAAATAATATAAGCGTCGTCACTTCATATTCTAATGCCCGTCTGCCCTTGTTTAACCTTTGGCATATTTAAAAGAAATGTGTTGAAACATCAGTCACTATCACAACTTTTGTTATTTGTCATTGCCTTTGTTAAATATAGAAGACAAAAGAGAATTCAAATCAAATTTACCCATTCACTAAGCACTGACAGTTTTTCAAAGTCAATTTTACAAAGTGTAGTGGAACGTCGCGCGGCCATTTTGACTATTTATTCCCAAGAGGCTTGACTAAAGTATTCATTACTCATGTCATACATGAATATTAAAATGTTTTTATCAGTTAAATTAGTACACACACTATAATTAGAGACATTTAATGATTACTTATGCAAAGCAAACCCTACAAAAATAGCTTCAAAGATCCAGTTATAGATAGACCACCACAGATAGACACACCCAACGGGCTGATGCTCAGCCAGGTTTGAGGACCGAGTGTAACAACGTACCATAGCCCAGACCTAGAGCAGATTAAGGAACGGGTTGGCTTTTAGTCAATAAAAGTCTGACACTCCCTCCCGCCCTACCCAGGGCGTCAGAAATCATATGATCGCCTCTCCCCCTACCCTCTGCCAAAAAAGAACCTAGGAGAGTAGCCTGCTTTATTACTAATACTAAAAAATACAAAAAAAAAATAAAAAAAGTACTAAGAGGGGGTTTTCTGATTTTTTATAATATATTTTCTTTTCCGTAGTAACAATTTTTTTCGATAATTGCTAAGGGCTAAGTTAAATGACCATTTAATAACTCTGAGTGCGACATATTATGTAAGGTACAAGGAAGTTGAACATACGTTTTTCGTTTATTAAAAACCAGTGAAACCACATTGACCACCGATCAAGGGATCTTGGATCCGATTCGCCGGTCGGGCAAACTGTTATTTGGTACTAGTTCCGGCCTGCAGCTTCGCCGGCGTTGTTGTCACCTAGCTTCATACCAAATTTAAACTAAATCTGTCCAGCCGTTTTTAAGCCGTATGAAAGAATAACAAACATACATCCATACATTATTACAAACTTTCCTATTTATAATAAAATAGTAGGAAGCAGGATAGTAAGATGCTTAGTATGCTTAGTAGCATTTGGCATCAATAAGTATTTCCGTAAAATTTTTAGTTTTCGTGCTATTTGGAAACCTCTGGTACCCTCATCAAGGTTTGAAAGACATTTGTATCAATATTGAGTCGATCTACATTGTACATGTAAATCCTACAAATAAAATGCGACAAATAAAAATTATATTGCAGTGTTTTTTTTTCGATATGCGACATGTGTTGTTTTCGTCACATGTTCAAAATTAAATGCGTTTTCAATTTTATTTTTCCATTTACGCGACATTACTTATTAAATACAAAAAGGTGCAGTGACTTTTTTATCTATTATTAAAAAAAACTATTTATAAAAGAGAATTTGATAAAGATTCCAATTAATTATTCGAACACTATTTTTAAATAATTTAAAATTAACAAATCCGTTTTCAAGTTATGTGAAAGGTAACAGAAGTAACATATCAGGGATGGATGGATGACTAGTAAATACTACTAGTACAAGTACCTACTAGTAATAAATAATAGTATATCTAGACATAGTATCAAGGTTATATAGTACCTAATATTCAAACACGAATATGAATATAAAAGCACCCGAATTAACGAAAGTCGCCATTTCATTTTCACTTCAAACTAGTATTCTAATCTTACCTTCAGACAGGTACAGTCGATCAGGCTCAGCTGGTTGTTCGCAAGGACGATGGCGCAAAGTGACATGCAGGCTTGGACCTCTTGGAGGTACTTCAGGTGGAGCCGGCTCAGGAGGAGAATCGCACTCCCGTTCACTTGCCTGCCCTCCATTGCCTGACGATGCTGGTCCAAAATGAAGGTTATGCTTAGTAGCATATAAACACAAACTAACTTCTTCGATTAGGAAAATTAAACCTCTATAAATTGTTTGAAAATAAACATTGTACAAATATATAATATAAAAAAGAATTTCGTCTATACAGTCGTCTATTTCAATCGACATTTCACTTCCTAATCACCGAAAATATCGCTTGCAACATACATGAAATCGTTTGATTACTACAATTGTGTGAGTAAATACGTTTGTTATTAATAAACAAGCTATTGTGAGAAAAAAACAACATCCTTTACTCTATCAATACAATACGATAAATCAATCATAAACGCACACTTAATAAGATTATGGCATCACAATGTTCGTCTTGCAAAACATGAATACAATTCACTTCGCTCATTGTACTCCGACGTGCCAGTCACATGCGTTAGAGCAACTATGCTAGGCATCCTTATCAAAGGCATGCACCCACCTCCATAATACCTTCATAATAGGTAGTACAGAATACCTAAGCAATATATAACTAAACTGGAATCCAACACAAGCAAATAGCATGCCTTACATTTCGCGACGCCATTATTATTGTTAATGCTTACAAACGTCATTACATTCCTTGAGTGAAGATATGCACGTTATACATCTGTTAATTAATCAGGGTGCAGATATTGAAGAACTTGTCAAGGGTCCAATTTAGTAGTTAATCATAATATTAATAATAAAAAATATTTTTTGAAGGAAATTTAATTTCATTATTCATTTCCTTTTGAGGGAGACTGTTGTGATAAACTCACAGGTTTTTATCACACGTCAAAAGAATATTAGGTAGATATTAATTAGTACTAGAAACATAATATTCACTCTACTTATAACGGCTGACAGTCGTTTTCTACAAACGATTATCGAAATGCTATCATATTAATCAGTTAATCGAGTTCTAAATTCTCAATACTCATTGTATAATGTATATTATAATGTCTTCCTGACAACTCTATTGACGGCAAATTATACTAGACTCGCTAACGAGACATTCCGACGAACTATAACAGTGTGGTAACTGTTTTGGATTAAGTTTTAGCTATGTGATTGTATTTTATTTATTTTTTGTAAATTTTCTGTTTATTTCCCGAATAAAACCATATGGTATTACTAAATTGCTAATATACCATACTTATCGAAGGCATGTACCTACACAGTATTGGATTGAATCTTTTAAATCACTCAACTAATTTCAGTTCGTTATAAAGTTTCCGCTCTAAATAAACACGAATCCGTACTCTATTTCCACTTCTAGATTTCGATTAGCAACTGATAATGGACCGGGAGTTAGACGGAGGAACTCTTCGATTGCTAAGAGTACAACAACTGTAATTGGGGTAATCTATTTGGGTTCTTGAGCAAATACCACAGGTAGGTTGGTAGCCAGCCAATTTGCTTTGCTTTAGAACACTTTCTTGTTAAAACTTCTACTATTTACGATGTTCGATGAATAAGATGTGTTTGTAAAGTGATATTTATTGTTACAGTTATTGCTTCTGGCTTTGATCCAATATATGCTGTCGAAAGTAAACGCATGTTGGTAGGCTTTGGTGCAGACTGCACGTAACATTGCTACGGGCACGCTACGCGCTACGACACTGGCGTAGCGTCTACAATGCTACGCGGTCTTGGCAACATGTTTGTGGCTGTCGTTATCTCCCGCATCTCAAAGCCGTCTGAGATTTTCAGTGCTTTAGGTTGTTACCAGTATTTGTTGTTATTATGTTTATACTTTATTACACACATGATAAGCAAGGGTACACTGGGGCCGACCTAATGATATATGGCATTCTCTCCTAGACAACATTATAAGAATATAATGTTGTCTAGGAGAGAATGCCATATATGCTATTACTATGCTAATACTATTTGAACATTACAACCATAAAAAGAACTAGTAAATAATATTTTACATTAATATTACCATTGTTCAGACGGAGTCGTGCGTTGCGCGCGTTGTTTTCGTGGGGAAAGTCATCAGCACGTCGTCTACGCTGCAAAGTACTGCCAGGCTCAGCACTGAATATCTCCTCACCTATACAGAAATAAAAAAACATAATATATAAAGTTATATAAAAATCTACGATTAAACACATACTCTGGAAAATCGATCTTAATACACAGATTTTGGTTTGAGATTGGTTCGACCGCAAACAAGTTTTATAATATATACATATACATAAGTAGAGCAGAATCTAACATTACCATTCTACCTTAACTTTAAAAAAGGTCGAATTACAAACAAGATATGCCTCAGAGCTTATTACAGGCTATTTTTTTAACAGTTTTTATAAAATACTGAAATAATTACTCAAAATACTCAATGATACCTTTGGAGTTCCTGTTTCTTCTATAAAACCGCCTGTTGGTGCTCTCGTGAGGGAATGGAGAAGACTGCCGTTGTGGACTGCTGGCATACCGAGGCAGTTCCTCACCCCCTTCGGAACCATAGATCCGACGTTGTTCATCTGTAACAAGTAATGGGGTCTCATAAATAATTTGAAAACTTGCTGTGATTGATGAAAATATTAAAAATAATTAAAGATTTATAAAATCATATTGTGATCTGTTGTCGATACGTACGGTATTTTGTAATTATGTATAGATAAACATAATTGACAAAAAAAACTGTATGAATTATGCAACCTATTTTGAGAACAACTTTGTTCCAAAGCAAAATGTTTTTATCGTTTTGTCTAAATACTATTATTTCAATTTACCTTTACAGCATGTCTTTCAAATTCGTTCCATTGCCTCAACTTTAAAAAATATTTACAATGAAAAAGCAATATTAATATTCAAATCGTAACTACAAACAAGATTAACACCACATTTTTTACTTGTAAAAGTTGGCCAACTCTCGGCGTTCCAGTTATGTTATGACTAAGTAATAATTTTCAACACTTTATACAAATAGGTCAGTATAAAAGTTAAGGGCGGAAAGTTTGGAATTTATGAGGCGGTTTGTTTGGGTAGGTAATTCTAAACAATAACAAACAAAATGTATACGTTGCCTGAGGTTGTACGGCGCAAGTCGGCCCGCGGCGAATCGAACCCGCTCTACTACTTCGCCAAACAATTGTACACTATGAGTAAATGTGCAGAAGGCGTACTTAATTTCAGTTAACTTCTACATGGATGAGCACTTCTATTTATATACCTGTTTTATAATAATTCTATAGTTTACCAGAAGCATGTGCTTACAATCAAATCATTACCTCCGCCTCAAACGTCAAAACTCTAACATAAACATCTTTGTAGTCATTAGGCACTTAAAATAACGAACAATCGGAGATATATCTACATAAGTACCAAACATGTTTTAAAAATATTTCTTAAATCGTATAATAGCCGTGCAATCACCATAATTATTATGAGAAACAACTGTAAGTAATATATTTCCAGACTGTTTTGGCGAGGTCATGAATATTTGAACCATATCTGTTTTACATTTAAAATTCATTTTTATTAGAAGTAGATGTTCTGTTCTAACCGCAATGTGGCTGTGAGGCTCGGTACCGGTCTGCTCAAATAATCCCACTCCATGTCGCAAAAACATGGATGCATGGAAAAACATCACATTTCTGCAGGACACGGAACTAATACTATACATTCGTTATGTTCGTTGCAAACTTATTTTCATGTTATTGGAATGAAAGGCACAATAGTGCATGGTGACGTTCAGAATAATGTACTATGTTTTTTTGTCTCAGATATCAAAAGTAATGCAAGTGAACTTGGTATCCAAACTCCCCTATTTTATGTATTCAAACTCTAAGTCGAGAAAGAGACTTTGTAAATGTTCCCAGAAAACACGATTCGAGCAAAATTCGGAACTTTTCAATGAAGTTCCGAAAACGATGAACAAAACCACGAAAATATAATAAATAAGCGCCTTCAAAGAAAATTTCTAAGTAAACTTGTAACTACACCGTGCCTATGTTGTTACGAATGAGTATAAAAGAAAGTTGCTGAGCGAAAGAAAATGAATTAAAAATACTCGTTCAGATTGGTAAGTTTCGCAATACTTTGGAAATTTGTTGGCAACGTTAACACAGCTCTCCGTAACGAAACGTGAATAAATTGAAAATAAGCAGAGAGACGCGGTCATTTGTAACTTTAGGGAAAGCATTTTAATATTTTTTGAAAGTCGACGATGAATTGAGAACTGCCATAACGGGGGTACAAAAAGTTTGAACGTAATTCAGTAAGTCAGCTTCGTTCAGAGGCTTATTTAAAATCCTGTGTTTATTTTGTATGCACACAAACAGTAAATACAACAATTCCCAGCTGAAATAATGTTAAAGGGTTTGGATGTAACGTTTAATGAAAGTTAAGTCGGTACGGTGTGTAGCCAACGGCTGTATGAAACTAAACACCTTGTTTTAGTTTACTCAACGATTCTACAAACTCAATTAGCATTACCTACAATCTCTGAGTCACTTTAGGCGAAATGAAATTATGTAGGAAATAAACGCGGTTTAGTGAATGCGCCAAACATGAATATTTTCCGGGTAACGTTTCCTATTCCGCGGTGTTTATATCGGTATAATTTGTTACGGTTTATGGTTATGATATATTAAAGTGTCTGTCTAGGGACAACGACCAGGTACAGAGCGTCGGGTTTACCGGTATTAAGCCTAGAGTCAGTTGGCTTCGTATTCGAACACGGGTTTCCGATTCAGCTAAATTTCCGAAGCGAGTGAGAAAATTGTGAGCTTGTGGAACCTAGGCTTAATGATGGCAGTGTTCGGACGAAATCGCTTACATAATGGGTATTGATACACGATGGAATAGTGATTATCGATTGAACAGTTCTATCATATTATTTTGTAATCGTTTTTGATCTAAACGACAGGGCTATTGCCCGAGCTTTTTAATACAATCTATAAATCTACAATAAAAACAAATGATTTGATTTCTAAATAGTGGCTATCATGGATACCTCATGAATATTGTTTTGTCACGTTTATACCATTAAGTTATTTTGCTGTTATCAGAAAAGATTTTAAATAAAAGTATAATACATACGTTATTAGGCAAATAAATAAGTTATTATATTTATTATTTCTCCTGAAAATACCAAAAGAGTTACAAATAAAATTGGGCCGCTTTCGAAGCCGGTCCAAGGTTAAGCCCTTCGATATAATACCAACCTAAATATCTAAATATTCAAAACAAATGAGTCTTTATTAGCATCACTCCTAAAATAAATTATTTTGCTCTATGAATATTCAAATAAATGTTTCGGGTAATACTAAATATTATTCATAGTTTTAAGCACCTACCCGAACTTGAATGGATGGAAAAATATGTGACAGAAACAAAATGTAACCTTGTACTACTCATACACGACATTAACCCAAAAATGTTGGAAAAAACCTCAGAAATGTATGCAAAATATAACAACATGTTAATCATTTTTTGAAGTAAGTGCTGTAGGGAGTAAATTACGTTGACTTTTCAGTAATTACAAATTCTCAGTATTAGAATTAGAGAAACTGGACATTCACACACAAGTGTGTGGCCGGTTCTTTAAACCTAAAGTATTGTGATGTCAAACTCTTTTAGTGAAATAGCACATATAATATTTAAGCTGTAAAAAAATATTCAGAATATCGTAAAATAAATGAAGGTGTGATTATTATAAATTGTTCTTATGATGTTAAGTTAAAGAATTTCTTTTTAACCAAGGAAAGAACCCCATAATTGAAATGAATTCCAAAACTTCTAATAGTGGTTAAGTAATGTTCTTATCTTCTTTCTTCTTTTATGACATATTTTACCTCAGAACGTAGTAAATATTTGGCAAGTTCGAATGTTTTTTCCTATAGATATCATGGATCTTATAAATATTTAGACATCAAACGTTGACAATCTACTATCAACTATATTTTACGGATATAAAGTTGAGATTCAAATAACAAAATATCTGGCTCAGAGACGCGAAGCTTCCCTTTAGTAAACAACTCAAGATTGAATATGAAAATTTAATCGACTAATTTAATCGAAGAGAGATACCATGTAGGCGTCGACGGCTGAGTTATTAAACGTCTCCGTGTAGGCATTCAGCCTGTAAATGTGAATAATAAAATGTCGGAACTTCTATATCTTTCTAAGTATATTATGCAGAAAGATATGAATTTATGTACTTCTGAGAATTTCTACCACTAAACAGCAAAAGAGAAAAAAAAACACTTCTTCCAATATTCTGTCAGTCATTTAAAATTACAGTCGATCTGATAACTAAAGGAATGAAAGAGATATTTTATTCGCGAGGTCTAGAATTATTCAAGCCGAGACCTCCGAGCAGCGTTCATTTGTAAGGCGAAGTTTGACAAGTTAGGTTGCATTTAAATGCTGCCGGTAGAAGATTCAACACCAAGCCGCACTCGAAATTAGCATTTTTCAAAGTCGTGCCAGCCTGATGGCTGCGCATTCTCGCCAGACTAGTTCCTGTAATGCATGCACGCATTGCTTTTTACAAAATCTTGGCGAACATTTCCGGATAAACTTCGACAAATATAGAAGTTTTCGCATTACACCAAGCACTTGTGATAACATTAACAAATAGATGTAGCCTTGAAGATCCGGGCGCACTGGAGCTGACGTGGACTGCATAAATAAACGGAAATCCCGCCGCTATGAAATTCATATTTAAAAAATGTTAGCTGAGTAATAGTCTTCTTTGGGGAAAAATAATAGATTCCTTTACTCCTGCGATGAAAATGACCTGAATTAAATTTTCACATTCAATCGTCGCTGTTTGCCCCTGAGAGTGATCGCGGGCCGCCGCCGCATCGCCCCCGCCCCGCGCACGTCCCGCTCCCGTCTGTCGGTTCTCATCATACCTATTTTTGTTTTTCGGCAATATAATCGCAGATGAAATTATACATTATGTTTGAAAGAGTTATGGCTTATACCACAAGGAATACTCTATCTAAGTCTATTAGACATCTCGTAATGTATGTGTAACCTTTAGTGTGAAAGTAAGTAAGGAGCATTTAAAAAAGGTACGCAGATACATACATTTCAAGTGTTGAATAGCCATACTTAGGGACAAATGAAAAAGCTCAGCTGGAAACCACGGCCTTACAGTAAACTGGCATAAAACTATGCTTGTGTTGTATTTCGAAAGGTCGGCAACGCACTTTAAACTCCAAGTAGTGTAGTGTAGTATTGTTGGTGGCTATGGGCGGCACTGTTTGCTTACGATACGATCAGTCTGATCGCTTGCCATATCCCACGAAAAATATTAAAAAATAATGTCTTATAACAATGAATAATTTATTTATCTAAATGAAAACCTTTTTTCTATCTTTTTGGAAATAAACCTATCCAAATCTAAACATGACATTATTAACATTAAAATTGCAGGTTGAACCAACACTTGGCTTGTGTAAACGTAAATGGGTATAATATAACTACGATTCTAGTCTTCATTAATTCAATATTCCGTTTATACTAA